TGGCGCGATCTCGGCTCACCGCAACCTCCGCCTCCTGGGTTCAGGCAATTCTCCTGCCTCAGCCTCCTGAGTAGCTGGGATTACAGGCACGCACCACCATGCCCAGCTGATTTTTTGTATTTTTAGTAGAAACGGGGTTTCACCATGTTGACCAGGATGGTCTCGATCTCTTGACGTCGTGATCCACCCGCCTCGGCCTCCCAAAGTGCTGGGATTACAGGCTTGAGCCACCACGCCCGGCCCAAAAGAGCCATTTTTAAATGTTATTTAAAGATTGTCCTTGGAAAATATGAAAGAAAAAACTAAGAATATTATCTGGTAAGTTAGCAAAGCCCTGAAGCAAACATCAGACATCCCAAATCAGCCACGTGGGACACAGAGAAGGAGCCACATAAAACCAAAACCATTCTCTTCTCTACAAGGTTAAGGTTTGGGTTTGCTACAGGAAGAAATGAGATTTAGAATACATGGTGTCATGTAAATAGCTCTCACTGTCATTATTTTTAAGGCTTTTATGTATATATTTTAACTGCATACTATTTATGTAAATAAAATATATATTCATATATACACTAATGTGCACACACACATATACAAATATATGTAAAAATAAATGTTCCCCAACTTGTGACATCAGGTGATCCACTTACCTCGGCCTCCCAAAATCCTGGGATTACAGGCGTAAGCCAGGTTTTTGACATCCACACTGGGTAAATCTTGATGAGCAGAACAGTACCCATCACGAAACGCTGCCTTAATTTAAAGCTATTTCAGCTTAGGTATGTTTATATTACCGTAATGAAGATCATAGCCGAAAGATGATAATAAAACTAACAAACGCCTGGAACTGTTGACACAGATACACTGTCAATAATTTTTCTACAAAAACTGCCATGTCAGCTTAAGTGATCGTTTCTTCTCTGAACTGTGATAGCATTTACCTTCTCTAGGCTTAGGACCCACAGATGCAAAGAGAAAGGAAAGTGTTGTGGCCCATCCCCCACTTCTAATGTAACAGCAATAATAATAGATAAAAAGTATATAGTACCTACAATGTCCCAGACCCTTTTTAAATGCTTTAACTACTTACTCCATTACTTTTAATCCTTACAACAATCCCATTATTAGTCCATTTACTAAGAAGGAAATTGACCCAGAGTTGAGGTGAATAGTCCCAGGTCATAAAGCTATTTCACAGAACTGTATCTAGAACCCTGGTCCCCAGCACTAAAACTTAAATGAATGAATGAATGTTCGCTCACTTTTTCTTTTAAAGATAAGGATCTCACTATGTTCAGCCCAGGCTAGACTCAAACTACTGGGCTCAAGTGATCCTCCTGCCTCAGCATCCCAAGTCGCCAGGACTATAGGCACACACACACCATCAGGCCCAGCTTTCACCATTTGTTCACCCTTTTGGTTCAGTTTAAGATATCATTTAGAGAAAAAAATTTTTGCATCACTTAAAATAAAAATACTGAACGCCACTAGTATATATAAGTTTATTTACCTATTAGCCCTCAAACTCTGATATCATTTTTATGGTGTTCTGGGCACACCATTTAATTCTGTGTTAATTAACTTTCTGTATGTTAAGTCTTGAACTGCATACATGTACGTATAAACTCCCACAGATAAGTACACTAGACTGTAAGCTCTTAGAGGACTTATATTTCTTTGTATTAGGTTGGTGCGAAAGAACCTTCGGGTTTTGCCATTAAAAGTAATTAATATCTCCTATGTTGCATATAGTACAATGCATTCACTTATAAATTTTTTGAGAAATAAACTTGATTTAACTGGTCAAATAAATTTTTATCCTGGGAAAACCAGTTTTAGTTTAAACTATGCTACTACTAATAATAAACAATCCTTAAGAACATCATATGAGACAGTAGTTCTGCCCAACCCGCTGCCAATTTCTTATCCATGCAGTGTCACTAATCAATTTATAGGTTGGAACAAGATAAAAGTTTTAACTTACGGAACTAGTAAAGCATACTTTCCCTGCAGAGGGACCACCACTGTGACTTATGGGTTCTAATTAAGTTTTTTTCTTTGAAGCGTAGTATTCAAATCTGCATTCTTACTTGATTAGTATTCACCACAACTATTTTTATGCAGATCACATGAAAAATGAACCCTATGTGCCATAATAACTTGCAAGAAATTACTATTCATCAGCATGAATCAACAAGCCTACAATTATAACAGTGTCCACTGGGAAAAGTAAAAAAAAACAAACCTTTTACGAAGGTCATATAAAATGAAAGAAAAGGGGGAAAATAAAGAATACATTTTTGTATTGAAAACCATACAAATGTTTTCAGCAGAAAATTACTATTATTGGGGCTCAGAAAAATGATACCCCAAAGTATGATGTTTTCATATGCTGGGCACTTTTGAATTTAAAAAAATCAGAAGACCTTAGAAGCTGCCTCAGAACCAAGGACTCTGTAACCTTCTCCTGTTTCTCTTCAACCCCCAAAGCACAGAGAGGAGCTCTCTGGAATTTTTTTTTTTTTTTCCAAAAAAAAATTTTTTTTTGAGGAAACTTTTTCCAAAAGAGACAAAATTCTCTTAAACCTCCTCCCTAGAACTCTCATTAAATTACCAGGAAAGATAAACCTGAGAAGAGAAGAAACTATAAAAGTTCATGACCAGACACACTTTTCACCTATTCTTCAGAGAGCAGCTTTGAGAGGTTACCTAAGAGACTTTAACTGCATAATAGGACAACCTTTGTTCACCCTGCAGTTCCTCCCCTCAACTTCCCATAACTGTGAGTCTCATTCAGTTTCCAAAAAGAACCATTTACAAACTACTGTCTGCTCCTTGGACCCATTAAATTCTCCTAAAAGTCACTTACTATACCCCCAAAATTGCCTGCATTCCCCCATCTCCCTGTCCCCTAGGAGGAGGGTGCTATTTAAGCTGTGGCTATCTGGCCCTTCTGTTACAGCCCAACAGGTTCTTCTTACCCGCTGCCCAGAAAAGCCAGTACACTGAGAACAGTAGGAGTGTTGCAGCAGAGAAGAGTTTAATTATTGTAAGGCAGCTGAGAGGAAGGAGGGGCAATATCTCTCAAAGCCACCTCCTTGAAAGCTTGGAGCCCAGGGTTTTTAAGGATAATTTGGCAAGCTGGGGATCAGGGAGTAGTATATGCTACTGATTAGAGATGAAATCACTGGAGTGTTGGAACTGTCTTCACGTGTGGAGTCAGTTTCTAGGTGTGGGTCACGGGATGAGCTGAGTCAGTTCCTTGGTACAGTCATGGTCCAGATGGCATCAGTCAGTTCATCAAAATGCGAAAGTCTGAAAAATATCTCAAAAACCAATCTCAGGGTTTACAATAGTGATGTTATCTATAGGAGCAACTAGGGAAGTTACAAATCTTGTGACCTCCAGCAGTAACCAAGTTAAGGAAGCTGGCTGGTTATCTCTGCTTAACTGTGCCTATAGCTTAGCAGAATTCAGACCCTTATCATAATTCTAATCTTGTTGCCTTCCATTTGTTTTACAAAGGCAGTTTCAGTTCCCAAGCAAGGGGAGGACCAGTTTCAGGAAGGACTATTATCATCCCTTCTTTAAAGTTAAACTGTAAACTAAACTCCTCTCCTAGTTAGCTTGACCTATACCCAGGAATGAGCAGAAAATTAGCTTGTGGGGTTAGAAGCAAGATAAAGTCAGCTGTGTTGGATTTCTCTCACCATCATAACCTTTGCAAAGGTCTTTGCAAAGACTCAAAAGTTATTTGAGTCTCATATATTGCATGGCTCCTGTGCTTATACACATTAATAAATTTCTATGCCTTTTCCCCTGTTAATTAGTCTATTGTCAGGTTATTTCAGCAAATTCAGACTTTCAGAGTGGGGGGAATTATCTTCACCCGTATACTCTCCAAGTCCAAAAACCAACAGATGTTCTGATACATGCTACAATAGGGATAAACCAACAAATATTATATGGTTCCATTTATATGAAATATGTATAACAAGCAAACTCCTCCGAAGGCAGAAAGTAGATTAAAGGTTCCCTCATGCCCCTCTGCGACAGGGGGAATGGCTCGCTTCTTCAGTGCACCACTGCTCAAACCTCTATGGGGAGCATACAGACGGGCAGGTGGTGGGGCTCCGAACCCACAGCAGTGTCTAGAGCTGAATGTTTACAGCTCCTGAAGCCCCAGTGAGCATTTGTGTCACAAGGTGCTCTTTTAATTTAGCCGCCTGTAGGTGGCTTATGTTAGTCAGCTCAATTAGATTCCCTTCCTTATCACAAGGACAAAGGGATTTCTGTATCCTGGGGTTCCTTGCCTTGGTGTACTGGAAGAATCAAATCACAGTGGGCTTGGGGAATAAATGCAAGGTTTTATTAAGTAGCTCTCGGCAGATGGGGGAGCCAGAGGGAAATGGTTTTCCCCTGGAGTCAGGCCACTCAGCGACCCCAAAACTCCCGTGGTTCTGCTGGTCACTGGCCTGTCAGCGTGCCAGCATCTGCTGGTGTGCTCTTCTGCCGGCATGCTCCCCTAGATATCCTCTCGATGTCCAGCCACTTGTCCTCCAGCAGCTTCTGTCTGTGCCTTGCTACAGTCTTGGGTTTTTATATGCCCAGGATGGGGATGTGGCAGACCAGGATGGTCTTTGAAAATGCAACAGTTGAGCGCAAAGCCCTGTCCTCACCAAGGTCCATGGGGGTAGAGCCCTAGCCAGGGATGATGCCCTCATCTACCCAGCACTTTCCTTACCCCCTTCTTAATTTTTTTTTTTTTTTAATTTCTTTTTGGAGACAGGCTTTAGCTCTTGTAGCCAGGCTGGAGTACAGTGGCACAATCTTGGCTCACTGCAACTTCTGCCTCCCAGGTTCAAGCGATTCTCCTGCCTCAGCCTCCTGAGTAGGTAGGATTGCAGGTGCCTGCCACCATGCCCAGCTAATGTTTGTACTGTGTATTTTTAGTAGAGATGGGGTTTCACCATGTTGGCCAGGCTGGTCTGGAACTCCTGACCTCAAATGATCCACCCACCTCAGCCTCCCAAAGTGCTGGGATTATAGGCGTGAGCCACCGTGCCTGGAACCCCCTTCCTTATTTAAAGGGACCACTCTCTTCCTTTCCCAGCATTCCTGTATCAAGACCAGTGATGGCACTGGATTCTTGTAGGAACACTAATCCTATTGTGAAACTGTGCATGCCAGGAATCTAAGTTGCATGCTTCTTATGAGAATCTAATGCCTGATGATCCGAGATGGAACAGTTTTATCTAGAAACCATCTGCCCCCTCACCGTACTCCCTGGAAATACTGTCTTCCGCAAAACAAGTCCCTGGTGCAAAAAAAAAGGTTGGGGTTCACCGTTTTAAGCTGAAAAGTTTGTCATGACTTGATATAGTATGAATAAGAACCTAATACATAAACAACTCAGTAAGAAGTTTAGAAGATTAAGTTGAACTAAAAGTACAGCAAAAAGAAATTGACTCCATAATGCAAGAGACTGTTCCTATAGCTTGGGGTTGGAAGTAAATAAAACCATTAAAGGCACTGTGACTTCACAGCCATGCCAACAAACATGTATTAAGCACCTACTTCCTAAAGCACACTGCAGTCAACGATAATTCAGACTAGAGTCAATCTGAAATCATCATCATCCAAGGTTCATTTGTAAATAATTTAACAGGCTAGGGAGAATATGTGAAGAACGACAGTTTTATCTCCAAGAATTCATGACCTTATCTAGAGAAAGTCATATGAATGGACAGAGAAGATAGTCTCATACTTGGTATGATATCCTACACACGTAAAGGATTCAGCTGCCAGAAATATCTGATCTTTGGCTTGTTCTAATAAATCAAATGCCTACTAACAAAAAGCTTTCAAGATAAATCTTCAAAATATATTAAAATGGAAATGTTAACAAGAAGGGTAGTGCCCACTAAAATTTTAGCATAGGTTAGGAAAGAGAAATTGTCGTGGAGCAAGGCAAAAAGTCATTAACTGGAAAAATAACCAATCCAATTTGGAGGGATTAATGCCATAATTGATTAACTTTACCATTTTCTTCGTCTGGGTTCTGAAGTACGACAATTTTCATAAGACAGATCTTTCTAGGCAGCTAGTTAGTATATGTCAACACATAGTCTTGTAAAAGTATAATATCCTACATAGAAATAAACTCTGAACTCCTCAAACAGCCATTATTCTCCAATGTTTACACTGCACATTTACATCTGGTAGGTAAGGGTCAACACTATTTGCATCATTAACTGGCAAGGAATAATCTAAATTACTAATCACATTTAGCATGTCTCATATTGATGAAACAACAAATGTTTAAGGAAGATGCTTCTTTAATATCTACTAACATTATATGTTTCACTGTATTACACAAAACTACCAATAAGGCTAAAGCAGGTGTACCATTTTTATTTACCTTACAACAAAGAATAAATGGCTTGACAAGTTCCTTTAAAAAAAATAAAGTGCTATTACTAATTCTGTAAACTAGAAGTTACCAAAACAATTTTAATAAAAAGATCTCAAGAGCCCCATTGTATTGTTAAAACTACTAAAGGCAGTAAAATAATAAAATAGAAAAGGTGACCTTCAATTCCATAAAAGAAATAAGGAAAAAAAACAAGATGACCTTAAAATGAAAGTTCTAATGTAATTTCATCATTTTATTGTAAGTCAGAGAGTCTATATTAAAGGCAATAAGACTTTAAATACTTTAAAAAAAGAGAGAGAGAGAGACTAAAAACCATCTTAAATAATCTAGAGATATTTGAAAATAATACAAGGCTTAAAATTAAAAACAGTAAAACAGAAAAAAGATTTTTAAGTCCAAAGGGAGCTCAGAAAGGCCTACAGCTGAGCTGCTGCGCAGGGAGAGGGAAGCTGAAAGCAAAGCCCGGAACGTCGAGGGCAATGCAAGGAACAGAACACACCTGAAAACCAGGGACTGAAGTCTGAGTCTGAAAGCCCCTGAAACAAGAGCCCCAAGAGCAGGAGGAGAGGAATGTGCCAGCTGAAAAGAGAGAGAGAGAGCACATTCACCTTTCCTCTCCTTTTCATTCTACTCATGCCCTCAAGAGACTGGATAATGCCCACCTGCACTGATGAGGGTGATCTTTACTAGTCTGCAGATTCAAATGCTCATCTCTTCCTGGAGCACTCTCACAGATACATCCAGAGATAATATTTTACCAGCTATCTAGACATCCCTTAACCCAGTTAGCCATCACAACTAAGGAATGGTGACGTGGAATACTGGAGACAGAATGGCATGAAACGGTGAAGGGCCTTCGATGATGAGCCATGGATGAAGAATACTAGGGCAAAGATTTTTGCATAGGAAAATGACATAATCTCTCTACTACATATTTAGCCTGATTAAAATGGACTTTTGCAAGGACAACTAAGGAAGAGACCTAGTTAGGATCTTGTTTAGAATAAATAGATAAATGTCTGTATTATAGTTGGATGGGATTTTAAACATTGCCTGATCTCATCCTTCATTTAGCAGACTCAGAAAGCATAACCTGCTCCTGATATGCTGGGAAATTAGTAACAAAGGCTACAATGCTTGCTTTTTTTTTTTTTTTTTTTTTTTTTTGAGATGGAGTCTCACTCTGTCACTCAGGCTGGAGTCCAGTGGTGTGATCTCCACTAACTGTAATGTCAACCTCCCAGGTTCAAGAGATTCTCCTGCCTCAGCCTCCCGAGTAGCAGGGATTACAGGCGTGCACCACCACGCCCAGCTAATTTTCATATTTTTAGTAGAGATGAGGTTTTGCCACATTAGCCAGGCTGGTCTCGAACTCCTGACCTCAAGTGATCCGCCCACCTGGGCCTCCCAAAGTGCTGGGATTACAGGTGTGAGCCACTGCACCTAGTGCACAGTATTTTCAAACAATGAACTCATAAGTACCCTTATATTTATTCTAACTTTTTTTAAAGATAGCTCTTTCTATCTCCCAGAATTTCTAGAACCACCTCCTTAATGAACCGAAGTCTTTCTTTCTGGCCACAAATATTCACTGAACCCCTTACTTTGTGCCAGACACTGTTCTAGAAGATAATAACAAAATTAGTTCCCTCTCTAGTTGGATCCAAAATTCAAAAGAAGAAACAAAACAATAACAAACACATACATCACACAGTGGTAAGTGAAGAAAAATAGAGTCAGAATGAAAACAAGTGTGGTATAAGTACACAGAGAGTAGTCACAGAATGTTTTCTCATAAGTCTGCATGAGCCAGGAGCAGTAGCTTGTGCCTATAATCCCACCTGGCAGAGGGAATGAGTTAGTGGGATCACTTGAGGCCAGGAGTTCAACACTAGCCTGGGAAGCATAACAAGATGCTACCTCTAAAAAAATTTTTTTAAGTAGTCGGATGTGAAGGCATACATCTGTAGTCCCAGCTACACAGCAGCAGCAGTCTGAGGCAGGAGGATTGCCTGAGGCCAGGAGTTTAAAACTAAGCTGGACAATTTATCTCAAAAAAAAAAAAAAAAAAAAAAAGCCTGCACTATAAGAAATCCAGTATAAGAGTGGTCCCCAAAGACTAGGCAATAAATGGGAAAACAGGGAGAAGGTAAGCAGCCTGTTTAAAAGAGGGAGGGAGAAGAAAACTTTGTTCTGTCAAAGTTTAGAACAAGCAGAAACTTATAGACCATTGTAAAAACTTTGCCACTGAAGTGTCCCCCAGAAACAATGCAAACCAGGAGACAATGGAACATCTTTAAAGTGAATGAAAGGTAAAAACAAAAAATTCAAGCCAGAATTCTATATCTAGCAGAAAAATCATTAAAAATAAAGGCAAAATAAAAAATCCAGACAACTGCAAGGAGAATTGGGTACCAACAGACCTAAAACTAGAAATTTTTAAGGAAGTTTTTCAGGTTGAAGAAAAAGGATAGCAGCTAGAAACAGATAAATACAAAGAAATGAAGAGTGCTAGAAACGTTATGACAAAGTACTGTAGGGTTTACAACATGTAAAAGTAAAATGCATGATGAAATAGCACAGAAAATAGGAGGGGAGAAATAGAAGTATACTATTGTAAGGTTCTTACATTATATATTGAATTTATAATATTATTTTACAGATTATAATGAGTTAGAGATAGATGTTTTAAACCGAAAGCAACAACAAATAAGTATAGCTAACGAGTCAACAGAAGAGACAAAATAGAATATTAATAAATATTCTAAGGAAGACAGAAAAAGAGAGGACAAAACAACCACAAAAATAAAAATAAAGCAGAAAACAAGTAAACTTACTAAAACATAGCAAGAACAATGCCTACCAAGCAACATATTTAAGCTGGTCTGTGTTAGCGCATCTGTTGGGAAGAAAACTGAAAACCAGCATCTTTACTAACTGATATAAATGTCTGCCTGAAGTTTTCACAGATGATTTACTGAAATATGGTCATTCTACATTGCTTTCGTTTCAATCTGTCATAAAATAGCTGTGTATGATTTTCAAAATCAAGAAATACTTTAATTAGCCAACGAGTTTACTGGTAATATCTTCTCATTCAAGTAAGTTTTTGAACTTCTGACATCGCCAAAAAAAAAATGGCAGTTGAGAATTTGAAAAAAGGAAATTAGGCCAAATAGTTATTTGCAAAATTGTTTTGTCATCTTTGGTTCATAATGATGTTTATCTTATAGATGCTACAGCTTTTTTATCAACATTCAAAAAGTTATCACATCAACATATTCAATGGCAAAAATATAATTATAGTTTACATAATTTCTTATTTTATACTATACTTTCACATAGTGACAATAGTAATCAAGTACTAAATATAACAGAATTCACATTAGTAGAGGTTAAATGAATAATTATCCTGTTAATGTTGCAATTTATCCTACTTGATTATATTTAATCAGCAAAAACCCCAGGCTCAATGTAAAACTGATAACAGCAAGACTACCTCAGGTCTCCTTCCAAAGTGCCAGTCCAGACTTCTGAGTGACCATAGGCAGACCATATGCAGTGAGTGGTGGCAGAGCCCCAAAACTTTTTCAGCACACACCAAAACCCACCCATGTATGGTTCCATTCAGAAGAGACCACAGCTCTCCAGGTGTTACAGATATAATACCAACCTAGACAACTGGAATTATATGACATGCAATCTTTTATGTCTGATTTTCACTTAACATAATGTTTTTTGAGGTTCACTAAGTAAGGTTTTATCATTGACTTACTAGGATTTTTTTAAGTAAAATGTCACATAAGCTGCAAATAGAAATCGTTTTCCAATTACAGTACCTCTGATTGTTTTCTCCTGTCAGGTGCATTTGTTAATACTGCCAGTACAATGGTCCCAACCTTAGTGGGAATACTGTTAGTGTTTTCCAATTAAAGTCAAATGCTGAGTATTTGATACTTTCAACTCTGAGAGGAAAATCACATATTTCTGTATATGTCACCACCATATTATATTAACTAGAAGCCACCATTTGTTCATCTACAATAGGATAAAATAATGTCTGCCCTCTCTACTTTTCAGAAATCTTATAAAGAAAAAAATATATATATAGTAAACAATAAAACTCTGTATAAGTCTGAGAACCTATAATGCCATAAAAATAATTTTAGAAACCACTGAACTCCTTTGAAAGTGTGTGTTTTTAACTACTAGCAAGGAAAGAGACGTTAGCAGACAGGAAGCAAGGAGACTACACCTTTCAGCCATCCAGGTTATATGTAAACAAAGAAAGGAAGCTAGCTACAGAAAGTGAGTGTCATACTGGAACACACTGAGTTTTGTAAGTTCCTGTAACATATTTCTGGTCACAGAACTATCACCAAACCTAGAAATAAAGACCTAAAACACTTCTAATATTACACATTAAAAGAAATATGAGCATACATACATTTAAGAAAGATTAATCAGGCCAGGTGTGGTGGCTCATGCCTGTAATCACAACACTTCGGGAGGCCAAGGTGGGAGGATCATTTGAGCCCAGGAGTTCAAGACTAACCTGAGCAGCATAGGGAGACCCCATCTCTACAAAAATTTTAAAAATCAGCCGGGCATGCCTACAATCACAGCTACTCAGAAAACTGAGGTAGGAGTATTGCTTAAACCCAGGCGGTTGAGGCTGCAATGAGCCATGATTGTGGCACTGCACTCCAACATGGGCGATAGAGTGAGATCTTATCTCATGAGGAAAAAAAAAAAGCAGAAGAATTTAGAATGTAGAGGTATATTTAAAAAGTTAAAAGATTCTTAAATCCTTAACTTATTTTAGAGGAATTCCAAATACAGACATGAAAATGGGGATACTTACATGACTAAAAGTAACTGAAAATGTCTGCTTATCTACTCAATAAAATGTTCAAATATAAAAAAATTTTAGACCACTTCACAACATAGGTACTAAAAGCCAGTACCATTTTATTAGTGCATATTTGTTAAAATAAGGAGGGAGGAAGGTAATTCAGTTAGCTCTCATAAATACCCTTGGATTGGTTTGTTCAATACTAGAAAAAAATTGGTCTATGCAATAGTAATTCTCACCTTTTTAGAGCTCCTTTAACCTACTGTATAAAGTATATAGTGGGAAGGAAGTCAAACTACTTACTTAATATTTATCTTTAAGCTGAATTTGAATTAGTCTCAGAGTTCTACGCTAACCAGTATAAGAGTTAGGATGTTTTTCAGTTGCAAACAACAAAAAAAACAGATTTGCATTAAAAAATTTAAAAGCCCAGAGGGTGGGCAGGTTTCAGAGTTTGTTAAAAATAAAAATGACAGCTGGGCGCAGTGGTTCACGCCTGCAATCCCAACACCTTGGATCATGAGGTCAGGAGATCAGGACCATCCCGGCCAACATGGTGAAACCACGTCTCTTCTAAACACAAAAAAATTAGCCAGACGTGGTGGTGCACGCCTATAGTCCTAGCTATGCGGGAGGCTGAGGCAGGGGAATCACTTGAACATGGGAGGTGGAGACTGCAGTGAGCCAAGACTGCGCCAATGCACTCCAGCCTGGGCGAAAGAGCGAGACTCTGTCATTCATTCATTCATTCATTCATTCATTCATAAATAAATAAATAAATAAATAAATAAATAAATAAGACAACAGTAACAACAGCAAATACAATGTGTCAAGTACTGCTCTCTCCATTTTGTGTGAATTAATCTATTTAATCCTTGCCACAACTTTCTGAAAGCTATTATCCCCATTTTGCAGATAAGGAACTTTTCCTAAGGTACAGAGAGCATCTATTACTATATTTGCCCAGGGTGGCACAGTCACTAAGTAGTAGAGCTGGCATTCAAACCCATGCAATCTAAACCAGAGCCATGCTCTTAACTGCTGATGCTCTGCTGCCTCTTTATGGCTGCAACTCCTTTCTCTCCAATGCCCTCTGCTCTGCCCTCTTCCAGAGCTGGCTTGAAGCTCCCCCTCAGTAATAGTATAGATGCCAATGGGTCCTGGAACTACCCTGTACTCATATAAAAGGGGAGAGCAAAAGCATTTCTTCCTACCAAAAGAAAGCTCTGAATCTCACTTTAATTGGACATATCAGTTTTTGTTCCCACCACAGAACCAACCATTGCAGATAGGGAATAAGGTTGACCAGAATTATCCATGCCAATGGGAACCTACCACAAGTACTGTAATAAGGAGACTCTACCCCACCAAACCTGCAAAACTGCTATGTAATGCAGCTGGATTGGAAAGAATGTTGAGTAGAAGCCACTCTGTCCTCTGCAATCATGATACTCTTGGGTGATATAATTTTAAGAAAGGAAATCAAGCATAACCTTATAGTATACTTACTAAAATTCCTCAAATCTAAGATGCTATGGAATGTAAGACATACCATTATTAAAGATACATTAAAAACAGTACAGCATCACCAATTATCACCTCAAGAGGCCTTCAACTATAGGATACATCCTAATTTCATTTATGTCAAAAATGTAGGAGGAAACATTCATCTTAAAATCAAAAAAATGTGAAGTGCCATCAGCTGGAGTTCCAAAAATCCACAACTGCTTTCCCACATATATTGAGCATAAATCTAGGCTATAACTACATACACAGGCTGAGCAATGAAACGGCAATCAACCCTGTTGTGTTCCCAGAACTTAACATGAATGATAACTGAAAGAGTTATCAGAGGCGTCCCTCCTCAACCTCTCAGTCAAACACCACGTCAGACAAGGAATATCCACCATATACCAGGTACAGTGTCTGGGTCCTATAAGGGAAAGTGTCTTAATTCCAGCCCTCAAGGATATGACTGACAAGTACTAAATAATCATACAACAAACAGAATGTAGTAATGTTATTAAATGGATATCAATAAAATATAGGGGTTCAGAAAAAGGAAAGATTAATATAGACTAACTGGAACAGGGACAGTTCCAGCATCAAGAAAACATCAGAGCTGTCTGGGCATCTGTAAGAGGTAAGGATCTATTTAAGAGAGGAAGGTATGAAGCAAGAGCAAATAAAAGGGAGGTGTTTCAGATTACATTAGTAGAAATCAAGTTGAACTAGATAGAGCAAAGACTGTATGTGGAAAAGCAGAATATAAAGCTAGAAATATAGTTTGGAGCCAACACATTTGGTAGTCAAGAAGGGCACTGAACATTTTTGAGCAAAGAAATGACATCATCAGGGAGACTGGAGAAGAATCCCTGAGTTGTTTGCAGATACCTATATATTAGTATGGAATACAGAAGGAAGGTCTAATTTAAGAGTTTTTATTTGGGGGTCATAATGACTAGATGAGAACTGAAGTTATTAAATAAATGACATTTTCCTCGGAGGATCTGACATGCTGGAAAAACAAAGGAGCCCAGAGAAATTACCTGAGGAACATCAACATTAGTGGAATGAACAGAAGAGAAGGAGATCACAAAGAAAGAAAAAGCAGCAGCAACTACACAACAAAAGGAAGAAAACCAAGAAAGTGGGAAAAGAGTATGTAAGAAAAGAAAGAAATTAACACTGACCAGTTTCACAGCAAGATAGAATAAGAACTGAAATATAACCCCTAAGATTTAGATTATTGACGACCTGGCTAAAAGCAATATACATGGAATAGCAGGAATGGAGGTAGCATACACAGGGAGGTCAGAAAAGGATGCTTAGAGAAGATAGTTTTTGAGCTAAGAAGTTAACCAGATAAACAGGAAAAAACATCATGTGTAAGGAAAGAAACATAATGTCTACAAAGAATAGGCTGGATCCAATACAAAGATATGTATCCTCAACAACAACCAAAAAAAACTAGAAAAGTACACATAAGAAGGGTTTTAAATTTAATAAGCATGACTAATTTGTTACTTCACACAAATTGATCTTTTGCTTTAATTACAATGCTAACTTTTTAAGAAAAAGAACAATGCCAACCAAAAATCTGGCAAACACACTGCTCAGCAAAATTTGATGAAAAGGCATGCAAATAAGACACACCTTTTGTATGACCTCTTGCTAAAAGGAGCAACTTTAGGCCAGATGCGATGGCTCACACCTGTCATCCCAACACTTTGAGAGGTCAAAGCAGGTGGATGGCTTGAAGCCAGGAGTTCGAGACCAGCCTGGCCAACATGGTGAAACCCTATCTCTACTAAAATTTTAAAAATCAGCCAGGTATGGTGGTATGTGCCTGTAGTCCCAGCTACTTGGGAGGCTGAGGCAGGAGAATCACTTGAACCCAGGAGGCAGAGATTGCAGTGAGCCAAGATGCCACCAGTACACTCCACACTGGGTGACAGAGTGAGACCCCTCCTCAATCAATCAATGTACCAACTTTATATATATATATATATATATATATATATATATATATATCTGCTACATAAATTACTCTCCAATTCAGCAACAATCTGCTTAAACTAACTCTAGGCAACCAAGTTCAATCTCAAATTTCATTTTGATTCAATTCTTTTCCTAAAAAGGATTCCATATTTTATAATAGAAAGAGCCATTAAAAAACTCAAAATTTTGGCCGGGCGCAGTGGCTCACGCCTATAATCCTAGCACTTTGGGAGTCCGAGGCGGGTGGATCACGAGGTCAAGAGATCGAGACCATCCTGGTCAACAAGGTGAAACCTCATCTTTACTAAAAATACAAAAATTAGCTGGGCATGATGGTGCGTGCCTGTTGTCCCAGCTACTCGGGAGGCTGAGGCAGGAGAATTGCTTGAACCCAGGAGGCGGAGGTTGTGGTGAGCCGAGATCGTGCCATTGCACTCCAGTCTGGGCAACAACAGCGAAACTCCATCTCAAAAAAAAAAAACAAAAACAAAAACAAAACTCAAAATTTTCTTTATAATTAGGAATAGAGAAAATTGTTCAGTTTCTAAAATCCCACATCTCTGACTATATGCTGGGAGAAAGTATATAGTCTGACAGCTCAATAGACATGCATTTTTTTTAAAATCTCACTGCATAATTGCAGATAAGACAAACAAGTAATCTAACAATTATGCCAAACTCAGATTGGACTCTATGTGTGAAAGTACCACATCCTCTAGCACTTTTTCCAAGGAAACTATCAGAACCATTTATTTTCAAGTGCATAATAGCAGAACTATCAGTTATGTGACATCCTATGAAAAGACAGACACAATTTCTAATTACATCCATTCTTTCATTTTAATTACTCTAGAGAGTGATTACATATTTAACTTGGCTATCTTTAAAAAATTAAGTTGCTTTAATGAAAGTAGTTTAGATAGCTACACTACCATACATCAATTAGAAAGTTAATCATTCTGCTTGTTCTCACAGAAAGATTTTAAAGGAGGTGGAGAGGTGGTGTTTCATGCTTTTTAAAAAGTTAATTAGAGAGCACCCAGAAAGAGCGATCATCTGGGAAATAAAGTTTATCAAAAATCCAAAATATGTAATCTTCACAGTGTCAAGAAACAGCAAGACTTTCTCTTTAATGAGTTTATTTATGTTCACTTTAAAAGAAAATCTTCAGTTCACTGGGTGATGTTGAGTTTTTGACACACTGCAAGACTTCACCGTGTAACAGAATATAAGACTTCACTTCACTCACTTGCTTGGTCTTGACTGCCTAACTGATGGCAGACTATTATCTAAATCATATTCCTACTCTAAAGGAAGTTTTCTATTTTACAATGATCTTGCTGTACAGTTCACAGTCACACTCATCATTATAAAACATTCCAAAATCTATTTTTTATAAGTTTTCAGTGTTTGAATTATCATAATCCCCCCCAAATTAATTACTAATAATCAAGGAAGGTTAAGTTGATACTTAATTTTTGGCCAAAACAGGTTCAGTGGATCTCTCCTAGATGGATGGATAAGCTTAAGAATGCATTTTTAGGAGTCCTAGCCAGAGCAATCAGGCAAGAAGGAGAAATAAAAGACATACAAATAGGAAAAGAAGAAGTTACTCTCTCTTTGCAGACAATATGATTCTATACCTATAAAAACCATAAAGACTCCACCAAAACAATTTTGCAACTGATAAATGACTTCAGTAAAGTTTCAGAATACAAAATCGGTATATAAAAATCAGCATTTCTATACCTCTATAATGTTCAAGCTGAGGGTCAAATCAAGATCACAATCTCACTTACAACAGACACACACGCTAGTATCTAGGAATACATGTAATCAAGGAAGTGAAAGATCTCTACAAGGGAAACTATAAAATCACTGCTGAAAGAAGTCAGAGATGATACAAACAAGTGGAAAAACATTCGATGCTCATGAATTGGAAGAATGAGTATCACTAAAATGGCCACACTCACGGTGGCTCACACCTGTAATCCCAGCACTTTGGGAGGTCAAGATGGGCAGATCACCTGAGGTCAGGAGTTTGGACATCATGGTGAAACCCCATCTCTACTAAAAATACAAAAATTAGCCAGGCGTGCTAATACACACCTGTAATCCCAGCTACTCCAGAGGCTGAGGCAAGATAATTGCTTGAACTCAGGATGTGGAGATTGCAGTGAACAGAGATCATGCCACTGCACTCTAGCCTGGGTGACAGAGCAAGACTCCATTTCAAAAAAATAAAATAAAATAAAAATATCCATATTGACCAAAGCAAACTACAGATTCAAAGCTATGCCTATCAAACTACCAATGTCATTTTTCACAGAACTAGAAAAAACTATTCTAAAATATGGAACCCAGAAAAGTTCCCAAAAGGATTGCCAAAGGAATCCTAAGCAAAAGGAAAAAGACTAGAAGCATCACATTATCCAACTTCAAAGTATACTATAAGGCCAAACAGTAACCAAAACAGCACAGTACTGGTACAAAACCAAACACAAAGACCAATGGAGTACAAAGAACCCAGAAATAAAGCTGCACACCTACAGGCATCTGATCTTCATGCAGTCAACAAAAATAAGCCATGAGGAAAGAACCCTCTATTCAACAAATGGTGCTGGGTTCGGCTACCTATATGCAGAAGAACAAAACTGGACCTCTACCTTTCACCATATACAAAAATTAACTCAAGATGTGTAAGATTTAAATACAAGACCACATACTATAAGAAGCCATTCTTCTATAGGACTGGTTTAGGAAACACCATTGTGGACATCAGCTTTGGAAAAGAATGTATGACTAAGTCTTCAAAAGCAATTATAACAGAAACAAAAATTGACAAGTAGGACCTAATTAAACTACCAACAGAGTAAAGACAATATACGGAATGGGAGAATATATTCACAAATAGTGCATCTGACAAAGGTCTAATATCCAGAATCTGTAATGAACTTAAACAATTTAACAAGCAAAAAACAAATGACTCCAACAAAAAGTGGGCAAATATATGAACAGACACTCCTCAAAGACACCCCACAAGCAGGCAACTAACATATCAAAAAATGTTCCACATCACTAATCATCAGAGAAATGCAAATCAAAACCACAATGTGACACAATCTCACACCAGTCAGAATGGCTTTTATTAAAAAGTCAGAAAAGAACAGATGCTGGTAAGGCTGCAGAAAAAAGGGAACGTTTATCCTGTTAGTGGGAATGTAACCTAGCTCAGCCACTGTGGAAAGCAGTTTGAAAATTTCTCAAAGAAATAAAAACAGAGCTACCATTTGACTCAGCAATGCCATTACTAGGCATATATCCAAAATAAAAGAAACTGTTCTATGAAAGAGACACGTGCACTTGCATGTTTGTTGCATCACTATTCACAACAGCAAAAAAACATGGAACTAACCTAAGTGTCCTTAACAGTGGATTGGATAAAGAAAACATGAGGTGTGTGTGGAATACTATTCCACTCCTCATGGAATACTATTTATCCATAAAAAAGAACAAATCATATTCTTTACAGCAACATAGAAACAGCTGGAGGCTATTCTCCTAAGCAAATTAATGCAAAAAAAGAAAACCAAATAGCATTCAGATCATACTTATAAGTGGAGGCTAAACACTGGGCACTCATGAACATAAAGATGTCAATAGACACTGGAGACTATTAAGGGAGGGGAGGAAAGGAGGGGGGCAAGGGCTAGAAAATCATTGGGTACTATGCTCATTACCTGGGTGACTGGATCATTCCTATCTCAAATCTCAGCATTACACAATACACCCATGCAACAAACTTGCACATGTGTTCCTTGAATCTAAAATAAAAGTTGAAATTATTTTTCAAAAAGAATGTATTTCTGATTATCTGAAATTATTGCAAAATACATGTATACACATTTTTTTCAAAGAGGTTTTACAGGTTTCCTAAGTTAACTGTTTTATTCTATGAAAAGATCATGGAATAAACAAAACAAAGCAGCAAAAGTTTAAGTGAAAGCTTTATATTCAGACTACAAAGTTTCTTTGGTAAGAGTAGTGTGTTAAGCAAAGAGGTATTCGAGTAACTGTAATACTAGATAAGGTACATTCAGGACAAAGCCACTGTTTCTCTCTAAGTTAGGAAAACATCAGGAACGACTGAGAATTCCAAAATAGTTTGAATGAGGAAGGGAGAATAAGAGAAGAGTAAAATAGCATTGAGATTCTAAATGATAGAATTCCAAGCAGAAGATAAAAGGAAACTGAACAAAACTTGCTAAATGAAGTTACATTAATCAGAATGTTCCACATGGCATTGAACTTCCCTCTATAACAGTTTTTGCTACCTTCCCCTAAAAGTTTATCAAGGGCAGACACTTACCTTAATAGTTTTTGTATCATGGACTCTAGTACAGTACTTGTCACATAGTTGTTACTCAACATTTCCTGAGTCAATAATGAAAATATGGGTTGGAAAAAGGTGCAAGTTTTTTTAATTATTAAACCAGAAGCTTTCACTGGGTAGTAGCTACATGTCTAAATTTCCTTCACCCACTTGAGAGAGATATATAAAGGCCTTGAAATGTTTCAGGAGAAAAACGATTCATGAACAATTCTTCCTTATTTAAAAAAAAACTAAACAACAATAGAAGGGAGTAGAAAAAGAATCTGATCTTCCTTCATGGAAATATGGATTTAAAAATAAACAAAAAAAGAACCTAATTGGCCAGGCACAGTGGCTCACGCCTATAATCCCAGCACTTTG